AGCTTGTTCCTAAAGATGAAACTAAGTACTCAAGAACAAGACATAGCACTTGGACAACATAAAACTATGCAGGTTCTGTTACTGTGCTCAAGAGACTTCCTCATCTCCAGCAGATGAAAGCTCTGACACATGGTGCAGCAGAGCTCACAATATAGATTTGTCGTCACACTGAGTAGCTTCTGTTTCCACTATACCTGTCAGAACTTCATATCCTTAAAATGATTATTCCAAAGATGTGGCTAAATTAGCAACTGATATTAAAGTCAATGAAGGAGAAACAGTCCAAGACAGCATTCTTGCACAGACCAGGTCTTAGAATACAAAGGCCTACAGGTATCTAGAATATATGCTGCAAACCAGAAGAAACATCTTGCCAAACACCAAGAAGAATAAACCCGAGGACAGTAGCCTGCAACTGTGATGACTATGAAGATTAAGAGGCCATAAAATGGAACTGAATGCCCATTTCTTACATCTGCCTGAACCAAACTGCTGTATAAGAGTTTCTGCAGAAGCACCGATTTTACTTACCTAAACTATTACTCTCACTCAGCACCTACACTCAAAACCATTTTTAATTGGTGGAAGATCTTTCCACATGTTCATATAATCTCAGAAGCTTGTTCTAGGTAACAAACAGCATCTTCCAATTATGTTCTGGAAATTAAAAAAAAAAAAAGCTTCAGAAAGCACATGCTTTCCAAAGAGAAAGAATTTGTGTGGTGGTGGCAGACCAACTCCTACCGTCAAGTAAATCAAACATGACAACAGCAAGTTTTACAGCAACTATGACTATTTCTTGAGCCATAAATCAAATCCAGTGTTCCAAAACGAGGTGCATTTCTAAAAGCTCAGGTTTTGGAGACTAAACTTTGTCTGCCCTTCTGAAGAGTTTGCATCAATTCAATTATATAAAGTTATCATAATAAATCAAAGTAATTCAAATTGGTAGATCTCAAAAATAAAACTGAAGGGTACCTTTGGTGCATGTTCTAAATACTGCTTTCCTGCAGACATTTGTGTCAAGAGACGAAATTTATTGTCCTGAAGGACATATATACCCTGTAAAAAAAAAAAAAAAGGATTTTTTAGTTGCATATGTAGTAACATGGAATCAGCATTTTATGTGATTTGATTTGTACATAAAATATAAACGTTCGCAGGTTGAAAAATTTAAAAAATGCAATTTTAGATTAAGGTACATGTGATTTGAAAGGCAGTATTTACTTATATGAAATATCAAAATAAAAGATACTTAATTGTGAGTTTACAACAAACCCCCTACATAATAGTATGATTAATTAACCCTAAAAAAAATCTGTTTACATTTTTGGAAGAGTCCTTCTGGTGCTCAAAAACAATAGCTCCATATTAGAAAGTCTTTGTCAATATACAAAATGCATGCTGATTTTTACATTCAAATCTTAATTTTCATTCTTATTCTCAAATACAGTGAGAATTATCTTCTTTAATAGTGATACAGGCAACAACACCCAGCAGATGATCAAATTAGAAGTCTGGTATTTTCTATATTACAATTTTGTGCCACAATATGCATTTTAATAAATTAAGTATGAACACACAGTATAGCTTCTTCTACACCTGTCATTTTATTTTCTTTGTTAATGACTGTGCTACCTTGGAACTTCATAACCCTTCAACTTAGATTAAGGCTGAATATGCAATTGAGACCTAAGCTAAATACTGCAGCTTTCTTTGAATTCAAAAACAGATTTCTAAGGTAATTATCTCTTAAAGTTATTACTTGGTAAACAGCTCACTGAAAAATAAAACCTATTTTACTTGGCACAATCCTTGTACAAATTCTCATGTTTCAATTTTGATATAACGGGAAAATGGCCATAAGAAAGTCATTCAAAAGGAAGAAGATTGTTTTACTCTAGCAAAATTATTTTAATCGTGCTGCAAGAACTGTGGCTGTTCATGCATGAAAGGACATAGATACAATGCAATGTCACCAACATGTAAATTTGGGAACTTTTCCAGTGTTTCTTTTATAAGTTGAGTGCAACTACTGAAAACTCTAACTACTCTCAAAATGAAAACCAAGCATACTTCAAGGCAGCCATTCTGTTTAAATACGTTAAGACAGCAATATCACTTCCTCAGACTAGTTTTCTACTAAGATTTATTGGGAAATACCAGTAAAAAGTTCCTATTTAAGTGTTAACCAATTGTAACCATTACTGTCCAGTCAGTCTGTAGCTCTGCAGCAGAGCATAGGAAATTCAAAGCATTTAGTCTTTCCAAACAGGGTGGCAATAAAGACAACACAAGCAATTACTAAGTTGTGTTCTGAAGCTACATGCTAACAGGAACCTTAAAAACGTACTTTTAAAGGAAATAACGAACATTTTGGGTTTCTAATAATTCTAGACTGAGGAAAAGAAAAATGTGCTACTAACTCAAAACTTTTACTGATTCTGCAAGTTAAATCTTACTCTACAGCATTAGTACCTGATGATTAGTCCTTAGGTTATCTATTTGTTTTCTGAATACAGTTGTCCAAAAATCTTTGCAAATGAACTTCATAATATCTAGTTCATCCTTGAACCTGGCAGTATCTTTTGTAAACCTAAGAGATAAGTGAGAAATACATCAATAACAAAGGTATGCATAACTTGACCCATTAAACAGGAAAAAATGGTACCATGCACATCATTTTTGAGGCTGTTATAAAAATCAGTTTTTCAGCATGTTGTGGCATCACTTTGTATTCCTCAACTATTTTAACTTAAGAGCAAGTGTTAATACCTGCAACATGACAGCAGAATAAATGTTTTAATTATATGACTAGTAAAGACAGTTGAAGTACTGAAAGATGCAAAGCACTGCATCAGTTTTATCTTCAACTAAACGTCTAAATAGAAGATAAAAAGATCACACCTACTGCTTCAAAGGAGTCCTTCAAATGTGCAAAAAAGCACTATCACAGAGGAACAAACGTGTGAAACTTGTTCCCATTTCCCAAAAAGGGATCTCTTTCTCTAGCTTATTTCAGAATTCTCTCCCTTTATCCTCCTTAAGGGTCTTCATCTGACACTAAAGCACCACTTTGTAAAATGAAAGCATGATTTCAGAAGCTCAGTCTCCACACCACCCCAGGAGGAGGGTGCTGAAGTTAGATGTGCATCCCCAAAGCGCCTGGGGAAACAAGGAGGCAACGTGCTTGGTTTCAAAGTTCCAATGACTCAAGAGTGTTTTTGAGAAACATAGCAGCCAATCGCAAAATTACATTTATGAAGAAGAAGAAAACTATGAAACATCCCAGAAATAGGAAACATACCAAAGTAGGTCTACAAAAACTGCAACTAAAAGGGACTGTAAGCATTGAAAGTAACCATACACCTTGACTCCGTTTTCATGACAGAAAGCGCTGCAAAAATAGATACTCCAAAGCTTCCCTGTGGAATTCAAACACAGGTCCCCGTAAGAATGAGATGCCAAAAGACAGGATGGGAGGTCTAGTAAGAGAAGCACACCCGCATCAGCCCTCTGTCCACTCAGGGGAGCCGGCAGCTTTCCACTGAGCTGGTGAACCCTGCCCAGACCCAGCAGGCCGGGAAGAAAGGGGCACGGGCTCCCGCAGCGTAACCCCCAGAGGACAACAGCGCCCACTGGCGGGGGAGCAGGAAGAGGGGCACTGCACGGGGCCGGCCGCGGCGAGGACTCACCTCTCTATCAGCCCCTGCCCGACACGGAAGCCCATGCTCTCTAGCTTAGTGGTGCAGCGGCCGTTCTCCTGCAAGAGACAAGGCGCCGCCGTAGCGTTAGCCGCGGCCGCTACCGGGCGGCTCCCCGGGCGGCCCCTGCCCCACTCACCCCTTCACCCTGCTCGGCGGCGCGGTACAGCCCCGCCACCATCTCGTTGTGCAGCAGCAGGAAGAGCGCCTCGTCAGCCATCTCCGCTCCTTAGCGGAGCCCCCCGCCCAGCGCCGCCTCAACGGCCAGCTGCCGTCAGACCCGGTACTGCCGCCGTCGCCGCACCGCCTCTTCCGGCTGTACAGCGCGGCCGGCTGAGGAGGGGCAGCACAGAGGCAACGGCCGGGATGTCCCGGGCGGGGAACCGCTTGGCGTTTCCACCCGCCGCCGGCCGAAGCCTCTCCTGAGGCAGAAAACGGGCGTTTACGTATGGGTTTCCCGAGCGCCGCTGCCTGGGGCGGTGGCGCGAACCGGGACTCCACAAGTGAGTGCCCTGACGGGGACTGAACAGGGGCAGGGGGACAAAGTTGTCTCTTCCCTGCGGAGTTGCCCCTTCCTGCCTCACTCCTGAAACCGGAAGGGATAGACGGGCGTGGGGGTTTACTGCCTGCAGAACGTCACTCGCTCATTCGCCTTCCACTTCCCGCCGCTGGGCGGATAGGCACCGGCCGCCTGCACGGGAGAAGCGCAGCGAGACACCGGGGATAACGCGGGTCCTACAGCCGCTGAACGGAGAGCCGGCTGGCGAGGCCCACACCGCGCAGCCACGGGAGACAGGCTGGGAGGCAGCGCCCAAGTCGCTGCTCCCGCGGCCGCACGACACTGGCCAGCCCGCCAGCCTTGCGTAACGCCGCCGCCTATTGGCTCCCCTGGCACGGCGGCGACTGTAGCGGGGCGGTGATTGGCCCCTATCTAATCCGCCCACGTGCTAGCTCCTCGGCCCCATAGGGGGTGGAAAAGTAGGATGTGTCCCAGGTGGGTGAGGATAAGCGTCCTTTAAGTGGCTTTCTGATTGGGCTATAGGCTAATGACGAAAATGAATGCTCATTAGCTCTGAGCGACGTCACTCCGGCGGCTCCTGTGCCGATTTGTGGAGCTGGCAGGCAAAGGTTTTCGCTAGTTGGTGGGCAGGGGTGCCAGTCTGCGTCTGGACCCTGTGATTGGTGAACGCCATCGATGAGCGTTTTCCACGGGACCTGCCCTTTCCTCTGGTGTCCGATTATTGGCGGTCGGAGGACGGCTGCTGAGCGGCTATTGGCTGCGGCGTCCTAGCCCGCGGCTGCCGGAGTGGTGGGCTGCCAGGCGGGCTGCGCATGGGCGGAGCCTATCCTCTTGCTACCCAGCGGTGCCTTGCGCTCGGCCCCGTGTAGGCCGCGCGGCAGGCGGTATGGCGGTAGCGGTGCGCGCGCTTCAGGAGCAGCTGGAGAAGGCCAAGGAGAGCCTCAGGCACGTCGATGAGAACATCCGCAAGCTCACGGGCAGGGACCCCAATGATGTGAGGTGAGGCGGGGGACGAGATGCGGCCAGGCTAAGCTAGGCTAGGCCGGGACAGGGGCTGAGGCGAGGGGAGCCGTGGGGCGCCGTGCTGGTGTCCCGGAGATGGAGGGAGGCGTGCGGGGGGTGTGTGACGAGGAGCTGCCCGCACACTCCGCCAGACCCCCGCGCCCTGCTCCAGGCCATCCCTCCTTCTCGGGCGCAGCACGCGGGGGGGCTGGCTTGGCTGGCGGTGCGCGCTGTAGTGGCGGGGACATAAGCGGGGTGGAAGGGGGGGAGGCGGTGATGGCCGCGGGCAGTTCTGGCTGGGCGAGCTGCAGCGCCCCGAAGAGGCGCCCTGCGGCGCGGCGTGGGAGGGGGGACCGGCAGGTACCGCTAACAGCGCCCGCTGTCTCTTGCAGGCCCCCTCAAAACAGACTGTTAGCCATCACAGGCCCTGGTGGAGGTAGGGGGCGTGGGAGCTTATTGCTAAGGTAAGGACCCCCACAAACATGCAGTGGGGTTTGTGCCACCCTTTGCCCTGGCGTTGCTTTGCTGTCCTTGCACTGGGTTGTTCTGTGTTTCTCCTCTTACCGCGTTGCTTAGTGTGCTGCTGTTTCAGTGAGCAGGCACCAAAGCGGGCCAGCGGGGTATTTGGCGTTATATGTCACCACTTGTAATGTAAAGTACCTTCTTATTCTGAATTATAGCAAATTTTAACTAACGGTTTTCCCTAATGCTTCAGCAGTTAGCCTGAAATATAATGGGAAACATTAAGGGAGTTTCCCATATAATGGGAAACGTTAAGGGAGATGTTATGTGGTTTCTGGGACCTTGTCTCTTTAAAATCGTTCAAAATTAGTCTCTTAATAATTAAGAAACTGGTAACTGTTCCAGGGAGAATAGTAAGAGTTGAAGTTGACAGGAGTTTTAAAACACTTGTAGGTAAACCCAGTAGTGGTTGGGGGGGGAATATTATTTTATTTCCTTTTTATGTTTTTCCTCCTTTCTCCCAAGTAGAATGGAAAGGACAGCTTTTGTTCAGTAGTTCTTTCTTAATGGAGTATGTAGTGGATATTTTTGTTGAATTTCAATATTAAACTGCTGGTTAAGGCTCATTACATCTTAAATTATTGCAAATATGAACACTTGAACATCATGGAGCTCCTTGTTCTCATGTAGCTACTCGATTAAGTGAGTGCAGAAATTCAAATTTAAATTAGTTGGTCCCCAAGCAATATGTTTAAACTCTTTATTGCAGTAGTAACAGTGAATGATGATACAGCTGAGTATTTATTGTTATATCACAACCATAAAGCCAAAATACAGTTTGATTATGCAGGCTTAAGGTGGGCCTGAAGTTAGCCAAACTTGTTCTGAGATCACAAGTATTTTCTATTTAGGCGTGGATTCTCGGATAGTGGAGGAGGACCCCCAGCCAAACAGAGGGATCTTGAAGGGGCAACCAGTAGGTGGGTGTGAAACTGATACAGAGAACTTGCTTTATCAGGATGAGAATTTATAGTAGTAGACTTAAAATACTTAGATTCAGTAACTGTTAATAAGTGATGACTTTCACTGTCTTCTCTAGAGATTACATATTCAAGAGTTACTGGAAATAAATCTGGATTATGGTAATTGTGATGAAATCTTTTTTCATACTTTATAGCAATGTGAACATTATAGCAATAACAAAAAGATACAGCAATACAAAGATTCTTGGAATTTTCTTTTTTACTTTGTGTACAGTTTGCTATCTGATATTGTGCTTCAGATTTGTTTTACAGTGGGCACAAATTGAATTATGACTGAGATCTGCCATTCAATAAATTGAATGTGTACAGTGTGACCATAGACTCAGATTTTGAGCTTTCACATCTGGATGCAGATCAGATGTGACTGATTACAGTGAGCTTCATTCTATGGGCACTTCAGTGCAGTGGTAGTTCTTGACTAAAGCAAGCTTTTGAAAAATTCAGAGCTTTTGAATTTTTGAGTTAATGCAAAATGAATACTGTAAACAGCTCTACCAGTAGCATAAAGTGCTGTGCCACACAGCTGAGCATGAAAGCTGAAAGTAACTTTTATTTAATACACTGTCTAGTTCTTTATTAAAGCCTCAGTTCATCCAAATTCTCATGTTGTAAGTGCTTTGCCCCCGTTCTGTACGTATTTGGCTGCGTAACATAAATATTATTTCCATTTGAAAAATCATACCAACCATTATATCTTGATACATTTAAATTTGTCTCATGATCTCCTTATACCAGTAGCCATTTTAGAGATTTAGAAAAGTAAAAACATCAAAAACAAGAAATAATTTCCAAAGATATCTTAAAAAGTCAAGCATGGTAGTGATATGGGCTCTTCTGCCTTCCTTTATTGTGCAAGTTGTGTTAAAACACAAACTGTGTTATCTCACTGATTTTTTGCCAACAGAGATTCTGTTTGTAAAATGCTACTTACTGGTCATGGGAACAGTCGGGAGAATTTTCCTGGAAGTGTTGATTCTCCTGTCTAGATATGCTGACTTGTATTTTTCTCATGTGAGAACAGATGCTGTCCTAAATATATGTTCTCTAGTGACCGCTAATGATTTTTCTTAGGCTGGGTGGAGAACGTCGGACAAGAAGAGAATCACGCCAAGAAAGCGACGCAGAGGATGACGATATTAAAAAGGTAATACATGGTAAATGGAGCTGCGCAGGAAGCAGCGTCCTTTTCTGAAGCAGTAGTGAAGTCATTTATTTTTCTGTGTTCTAGCCAGCGTTGCCATCTTCTGTTGTTGCTACCTCCAAAGAGCGAACACGTCGAGACCTTATACAAGATCAAAATATGGATGAGAAGGGAAAACAAAGGTATGCAGAAATCTCTTAAGCACCAACATGGTACTTCTCTGTGCTAGCATAGGAAGTAGTTTTACATTTTAAAAGTATTGTGCATATGCTGCTATGTATCAGAGATGATGCTGAAGATGTATCATAGTGGTATAAAATTGATTTTAATTTATTTTTTTTTTAAATACTCTCTCAAAATACTTCAGAGCAGTAGCAACACATTGTTCACGTAACTGACAGGAGTTCTGCTTCTTAGGCCACCTACAGGAATAGGTTTGCTAGTGCTGTTGCCAGTGATCATCCTTGAGTAAGACAGAAATAGGTATAGCTTCAGTGGTTATTTAACATTTTGGATTGTTACAACTGTCTTGGTATGTCATTTATTTTGTTGGTTGAAGGAGGCTTTTCTTTTGTTTGTTTTTTGTTTTGTTGCCTTGTGGTTTATTGGCTTTTTAAAGCAGTAGTTCCAAGTTTCACCATTTTTTTCCTATTAAAGTCTAATTGTCCTTTTGCCTACTTTTTAGATTGTTCCTACATATGTCTTTCTCCCTCTCTCCCCCATATTTTATTTGTGTCAGGGTAGCTCCTGAAAATTCTTGCTGAAGTGCAGCTCTCTTGGGAAGAGGTGTTGGAAAAGCAAATTTGCAACTGTCCAACCTCTTAGATTCTGCTTCAGTTTGCAACTCTGCTGGTGCAATAATAACCCATACCTCAAATAAGTAGAAGGATAAGAACTGGAATAAGGAACTTACTAGCTTCTCTGATCATGCCCACAGGTCAGCACAGAAAACTCAGTTTGCTTGCTCTGTTCATAGTTGCAACATCGCTAGCAGACTGCTGTTACTTCCATCACCAGTTCCCAACTTTCCTTACAGAAGGAATTTCAGAATTCTTAGTTGACTTCCTAGAGATTCAGGCGCTAAAAGTTTGTTCCCTCACAATTGTAGTTGTACTGTTTTGCCCTTCAGTAGTCTCTTCGGAGATGAGAAAACCAGTGTTGGTCTCTGTATGACTTGTGGTATAAAGATGTTCTTTAAGAGGACAGCATCCATTGGACTCTTGATTTTGCTCAGTGTCTTCTGGGATGTCACTCATATAGAGATACCCTTTGACTAAAGTAATCTCTGGGTCTCAATTCTTCATTTGTTTCTATTTCTGCTGTTTAATATACAAGTACCTTTACCTTTCCATGTCAGGCTTGTGCCACTGTAGTAGAGTAGTAAAGAGAGTAGCATTTCCTTTCTTAAATGAGTAAAATTACAAGGCAAATAAGAGTCTGCCTCTTGCAGTAAAGAAAGACAAGATGAAATTCAAGCAATTAGTTCTTGTTCAGAAGAAGGGAATTCCTTGAAGAACTGGATGAGAGCAGTTCTGGTTTCATCCCACAGTGCAGTGTCCTGTAGAAGATACTGTTAGCAGACTGTGACAGATAAACTTTAACTCCCCTTTGGCTCCATTTCTCTTTAATCCTCTGAGCGAGGTGGGGGAATATGTTTTTTCAGAAAGCCCAGTGACCTTCCAGTTCGCTGCCTTATTGATGGCTCACGCTGTGTTTACTCAAGCTGTGCTTCAGTACTCTTTGCTTTTGCATTTCTTAATTTTTTTTTACATTTCCTTAGTGTCATTATTCCCAGATGTAAAATGTGCAAGCTTAAAATTTTTCCAGTGCTGTCTGTGCTGTGTTACAGATAAGAGCTGTGTCTTGCTCTTAAGCAGAATATGATATGTCACTGTAAATTATATCCTTGACTGTTGGCACAGTCAATATGTGTTCTGTTGCTGCTGGCATAGAGTAATACTGAGCCTTTAAAAATAAATGTCTCTGAGGTAGGAAGTTTCTCTGATTTGTATGGAAATAAAAGTCTTGGGACTTGGACTCAATCTCAATCTTCTTTTTTATTTTTTATTTTATATTTTTCAGGAATCGACGTATATTTGGCTTGTTGATGGGCACTCTTCAAAAATTTAAACAGGAGTCCACAGTTGCTACTGAAAGGGTATTTATTTTTAGTTTTATGAGATTGTAAATAATAAAGCAAAATCGCGTGGTTAAGCTGATTCATATAGGAATGAAAATTCCTCAGGCTGCAGGTGCAACAAATTGGTAAAAGTGCATGTAGGGTTTGGTTTGGTTTAGTGGAATTGGGGTGGGAGGCAGGAAAGGGACACTAACAATTTCATGACTTCACAGCATTTTTTCTGACCATTGCAGAAGTGAAAAAGCAAGGTTTTGCTGATTGTTTTAACTCTTGTACATATTGAAAGCACGAAGTGGATTATCTTTTTCTTCTTGTTTTACTTGGGGATTGTTTCAAAGTAAATGGAATTTAATCAGGTTAACTATTTAATAGGCCACAGGCTACTTCTGTAAGTGGTGGTGATTCAGTGTTGCTGAAGCAGTGCCCACCCTGATGTGTTCCAGATGTGTAAATTATAACCAATGAGGTATACAGACATATATGGTTGTATCATGCTATCTGTTTGGCTACAGATGGCTTCCCCCACCCAGTATGGATAACAAGAATACCTGCTTCTAATGAACGGACATGTAATTGTACTGAAGTGAAGGCTTTGCTTAGTGTAGTGGCAATTTCGAAGAACTTCGTATAGCATGGCGGTAACTTTATTCCTAGTGTGTCCTTTTCAATTGTGAAGGGTACAGTATTTGTTTACTCTTGCCCTAAATGGGTTATTCAGTTGATACAAACCTTTAGATTAAAAACGGTGTTTGGAAGTTCTACTTTCAGCAGTCTGGTGGAAGCAGATAAAAAGTCCTTAAAACCTCTTCTGTGTAGTATTAGTATATCTGGCCTGCAGTGCTGGTATTGATTACTTTCAGATGTGGTATTTTGATATCCTTCTGTTTTATCTATCTTGTGATGTAGCACATGAGAAACGACCAGAGTTCTCTGTTGCCAGCTTGCCTTTAGAACAAGAAAATACTGATGAGGATGGTCTAGAAACCGAGTCCTTATCTAATTTATAGTAGTATGTATTTGCATAAAGAGATTTTGAGGAGTTACTGCTTTTTGCAAAATTTTTCTGAGAGTTTGTGTAGACATTGTTCTCTTCACAGATAAAAAGCTGCTATAAATCAAAGTAGAGGCCTGAGAAGTGTTACAACAGGCACTAAAATGTGTTCTTTATTAGACAACTGTTGTACAGTCTGAGCATGTGGCTGTGTAGGACATACAAACAGGGCATTCCTGGATTATAGTGTTATATCTAATTAGCAATTAATATACTGAAAGTATTTGCAATGTAATTTGTTTTGTTGGTCACAAACACCAATCTGCAGTCCTTCATTTGTGTCTGGGCAAGTTGACTTTTTCCCCTCCAAGTGGAATACATGAAATCTATTTCTCTCTTTTTTGCTATTGAGGGGAAAAAACATATTGAAGCTTGTACTGAAAATTCAAATCCAAACTGAATGATAAAAAAGCAGACAGAAATAGGACCCTGTAATTTTATAGTTAACCCACAAAAAATGAGGTGCCAGCAGGCACTGACACTATTTTCTTCTGTTATTTGTAGTTTAGGAGATGCTTCTTAGTGGGTCTTTAGGAATGCCTTTAATGGTGTAAATAAAAATTTTAAGTGGCCCAAATTAGAATGCTTTCTTGATGTAGAAAAAATATTTAAGATATTTCTTTGTCTATCTTAGCAAAAGAGACGCCAAGAAATTGAACAAAAACTTGAAGTGCAGGCAGAGGAAGAAAGAAAGCAAGTTGAAAATGAAAGGCGAGAACTGTTTGAAGAAAGACGTGCTAAACAGACAGAGCTGCGGTTACTGGAGCAAAAAGTTGAGCTTGCCCAGTTGGTGAGTTTTAGCTTTCCACTTGATTTTTCTCCTGTTTAAACTGTTTTTGTGTATCTTAGGGTTATTTTCTTTTATTTCTCAGCAAGAAGAATGGAATGAACATAATGCCAAAATAATTAAGTACATAAGAACAAAGACAAAACCCCACTTATTCTACATACCTGGCAGAATGTGTCCTGCTACACAGAAGCTGATGGAAGAGTCACAGAAAAAGATGAATGGTAAGTGGCCTTTGTGATACAAAGGCCCTTGTTCTTGCCTTGTTTGCTGTAAAAATTTCTTTTAAGCTTGTGCTGAAATACACAGATTTCAGGACAAACTGTTCTTGCATAGGTGTTCATCATAAGTGAACATGACTCAGTGATTTATTTATGTCGGATGTGCTTTGATTCTTTTAAGAGAAGTCAAAAGGGGTATATGCGTGATCACAGAGATATGTTTAAAACCGTCCTTTCTATTAATTAGCTTTAGTACACAGATGTATACCAGTGCAGCAACTTAGCTTTTGAAAAAGCAGATTCTATGGATTGAAGACCTGAGAAAATGCAGGATTTTACTAAGGATATGAGAAGTATTTTCTTAAGCACAGCACTAAGCTTTATAAAAACTTTTTTTTTGCCTTAATGTGTCTTCATTTCTGTTTCACAGGATGACTATATTTTTCTTTTGGAAAACAATTTAAAATACTCCGGTTGATGGTAGTCTGACTGTTCCTTTTTATCAAACTGAGAATGTATTTGGTGGTTTGGTTCGGGTGGGGGTTTTTTAATTTTATTTTTTTTGTTAAGGAGCTGCTTCATCATGTGGGGTTGGGGTATAAGAGAAGCTAGCTCACTCATCTGAGTATTTACATCATTTAAGCTTTCTTAATACCTAACGAGCTTTTTGCTGATTCTTACTATCTTTTGTTTACCTTAGGAAGTATAACCTTGTTAATAAATAAATACCAGGAAATTAAGTTATTCTTTGGTATACTTTTGGCTGGATTGATGTAAGTGAAGTCAAAAACTCTTTTTGTTAGCTTAGATTTAGGGCTTTACTGTTCTGATGCTCAGCTGAGCTGACTATCACTATTCCCTTTGCTTTGTTTTCTTAAGGTAACTAGCAATCTTTTTCATTATGCATGAATGGCTTGCTAATTCAGAATGAGTAAAGATGCGGTACTTACAAGTGAAAACAATTTGATAACTTATTAGCTTATAGTTAAGGGGAACATAGGCTTCAGTGTCTGTACATTATCTGAAGCTCCTATTTATGCATTTGTTCCCCAGCACTCTTTGAAAGCAGGCGAAATGAATTTGCGGAGCAGATTAACAAAATGGAAGCCAGGCCCAGAAGACAGTCTGTGAAGGAAAAAGAACAGCACGAGGTGCAGAATGAAGAAAAGAAGCAAGAACAGAACAAGGAGCAGGAGGAGGGTAAGATGCCTCAGCAGGTGGAAGAGTTGGAGACAGGTAATCAGCACAATGATGTAGAAATGGAAGAGGTAGGGGAGGAGAAGGGAAAAACAGGTTCAGGGCATAGCGATGCAGAGAAAGAACAGGAAGAGGATGAACAGAAACATGAAATGGAGATTAAGGTAGAAGAGGCTACTGAGATGAGGGAGAATGACAAACAACAGGATGGTCAGCACGAAGAGGTCACAGTTGTAAAAGAGGAAAGTGAAAACATTCAGCCAGTGGATAATGAGCAGGATGTGGCTGAAATGAATGATGCAGGTGGTATAGAACCTGTAGAAAATGAAAATGGCAAGGAAGTGGAACCAGAAACAGAGTGTGATGCTCAGCCAGAAAAAGGGTGTAACGTGCCTTCTCCCAAGATGGAGAAAGGTACCAAACCAGAAACTGAACCTGAAGAAAAACAAGAGAAGGCACCTGAAGGTCAGCCAGAACCTGTGGCTGAGCCTCTGTCTCAGCCACAGTCTGTGCCACTGTCACAGTCACCTCAGTTGTCTCAGTCCACTCAGGATACAGAGCCCCAGGCAGACAAGGATGAAAATGCTGTGGTGTCTGTAAAGGTAGTTGAGGCACAGACAGAGCAGAATCAGACACCCAGTGCAGAAATTAAGAGTAAGACTAGGAGTAGAAGCAGGGGTAGGGCAGGGAACAAAACTGGTAAGACTCATAGCCATAGTAGCAGCAGCAGTAGCAGTAGTAGTACTTCAAGCAGTACTAGTAGTGGAAGTAGTACCAGCACTGGCAGCACTAGCAGCCGGAGTAGTTCCACCAGCAGCAGCACTACAAGTGGAAGTACTAGCAGGGACAGTAGCAGCAGTAGCTCTACCAGTAGTGGAAGTAGAAGTCGTAGCCGAGGAAGAGGGCATAACAGAGATAGAAAACGCAGAAGGAGCACAGACAGGAAGCGGAGGGATGCTTCAGGAGTAGATAGAAGTCACAAGTCCTCAAAAGGTGGGAGCAGAGATACCAAAAGCTCAAAGGATAAAAGTTCAAGATCTGACAGAAAGAGATCCATATCAGAAAGTAGTCGGTCAGGGAAGAGAACTTCACGCAGTGAAAGAGATCGTAAATCAGACAGGAAAGACAAAAGGCGTTAACAGAAGAGACCAAGCTTCCTTAGTGTAATCTTTGCAGCGGAAGATTATGTGAGTGAAAGGATTCCTTGTAAGGAGGAGGAGAAGGCTGCCTTAAGAATTGCATGCTGTAAAAAATCTTTTGGAAAACAAATGCAGACTGTTTATCAGGCATTCTTGTACTTTTTACATAATTTTGTAAAAGGTTACTTACCAAAACATTGTGAAGTTCCTGAAAATGTAAAAATAAAGGATTAACACTCCTTTGCATCTTTTTTTAAATATCCTGTACTCATTAAGATTCTCTGTATATTTTAATAGGCAAATCTTTAAGTAGGTGCGATTGCTTCTGTATCATACACTTCTTTTTTTTTTTTGTAGAAATAAATGTGCATTTTAAATAAATCAAGATGTCCTGTTGACAATTAAATCCCCCTTTAGATCATACGTAGGGAGGCAATATTGCAGGAAATGTAAATTTTTGCTTTTCCTTTCTGTTCGTTGTGAGACTGGGCATCTTAAGACCCAGTAAAGGGAGCAATCTCTCCAGTGCTGGGTAGGAAGGGAAAATAATTGATTTGAATCTATACTTTTTTGTTCTGTAATCACAAGCTCTTGCTCAATTCTGTCTTCCAGTTTTATAAAACTTTTTCCTATCCATAGGCAAGCAGTGATTAGATGAGAATGTTAACACTGCCAAGATAGCTCAAGTCAGTCTGGAATACCATTCTTATTTGCCATCTGCAGGTGCTTTGATAGTATGTACATCTATGTTCTGGAGACAGTTAATCTGTTTAATGATGTTCCTTGCTTTGATGGCCAGTGGACGAAAGACTTCAGCTTGCTTCTCAACCAGGATTCTCTTTATTTTAGCTACAGACTAATATTGATCTCTTCATACCACTAGAAATAATTACATTGCAGTGTTGAAGTTACCTGGGACTACCTAATACTAATGTTATGTGTGTGCAAGAATGATTTCTGAATGTGCTTAATACAACTGGAAGTGGTATGGTGTTATCCATGAAGGTGAATACTGTTTTTATATAATTTTGTATGGAAAACAATAACATGTTGCTGTTCTGTACATGTGCAAATAAATGTGGCTTTGTAGACTACTCTCAATGCCTGTGATGTTTTCTATAGCACAGGTGTATTTCCTTAGTCTTTCTACATTTAAAGTGTGAATCATAATTACAGGTGGCTGTACCTTAGAAGCTCCATATTCAAGTGTTCTCATAGGCTTCAGTTAATGCCTAGTAACTGAATATGAAACACTGCTATAATCCATGTTGTCTTAGCAGGAAGAATTCTCATATTGCAGACCAGGTAGTCCAAGAGAGATTTTTGGAATGGAAATGAGATTTAAGCTTCTTTTAGTGTAAGAAATGACATGTATGTCCCATTTTTCTGGGACATAGAGCAGGCTTGGAAAGGTCTGCTTTTGGACAGTGTCAGTTTTTGGGTTTTTCTTCTGAACTCAGAGTAGCGGCAGTCTTTTGTCCTATAAAGTGCTGAACTTCCTGGCTTCAACAAATGTGTCTAGCAAGGGATGAAGTGGTGTGTTCTTTCAGCACAAATAGAAGCAATGAGATGGTTCCGCAGGATTTCCTCAAGAAGTTTAATACCTTATTCTGATCCTTCAGTCATTTGTCACATGAGTATTCTATCTGCCTCTGTTTCTCTACAACTGAGAATCATTTTTAATTCTTGTTCAGTCTCCAACCATATTTTTTCAAAGGAATATGATTTAATGTGCCACCTTCTTTGAAAGACAACCACAAATTCAAATGCCTTATTGAGGACATAAAACAGCAGTTTACCACAGGGAATAAACTTTTATGCTAAGTAGCTGAGTAAATGTTACTGGCTTACATGTTTCAACTACACATTTCACACTGCCTTTGGAAGCCTCACTCTCCACCCTAACTTTGGGTGTTTTTAAGGTTTCTTATGTTGAGCTTAGTTGGGTGATTCACTGCTGTGGTACATGTACTGTACAGGTTTTAATGGCTGATACTGCAGCCATGCAGATTGCTGGTCAGAAACCACTGTTTCAGAGGTGCAAATTAACAGGGTTCATAAAAAATAATGTGGTGGTTCCTGGTAACGGAAGTTGGGATTGGGTTGGTTATGTTGTTTTGGGTATATTGCAGGCAGGCATGTGTTTTTGTCAAGGTGAAGATACAGGGGCTTTGTTGCTGAGTACAAGGCTGGTAGTTTAAAGTTTGTTAGAAGAAACTGCCATGGTTAAACTGTTACAAGCTGAAACACCACCTTGCTATAAGGGTACATCTCTTCAAATTCCTGCTCCGTTATGTAAGGTGGTATCTGTGCTTAGAACAGCTTCATTGTGTGTATTTAAAGAAGAAAATCAGAACATATTTTTTGTGTGTAAAGTCCATATTGGTGAATTAAACACCCCCCTACAGGAAAATTAATTTCCTAAACCCAGTATATTTGCAAAAAGATTTCTAGAACATCTTTTGTTTATACCGACAGTACTGGTTTGTGGTTAGGTCTCAGTTGTAATTTTGAGATGCAGGTTCAGCTGCTGATTTTGCAGCCATTACTGTGGCACAACAGGCAAACCTATTCATTTTATCGGTGCCTGAGATCTTTAAAATGAGTTTTCCTGCTCGAGGAAGTGTTTCTCTGAGACTACATATTATGGGATCACATGCTGTGGCAGTGGGGTGTAATACACAGAGATCTGTGTTTTGGAGGATAAAATTTTGCTCTTTGAGATTTCTTCCCTCTCCCCCATCCCAGTTTTGTAGCAAACCTGTGTGTTACCACAAACCCTGTTCAGGCGGTTATTATTAGGTGACAGTGTTCTATTACATGGCAAAACATGAGGCATTCAAAGCTTGGAAATGTATTACCAAGATTCGAAGTAATACAAGTCATGAATTCCATGATTCGTTAGAAATGCACTGTGAGTTTTCATGCCTGTAACTGGTTTTGTAACAAAGGAACAATATGGCTTTTTCTATTTGTCATCCTGGCTGAAGAAGTTGGTTTAAATCTGAATGATGAATACTGCATATTTTTGAAGTGCTTTTGCCATGGACCATATTCTTACATGGGTTAGTGCAATATTCGACACAGTGAAACCCTACATTCTGTCTGGAGCTCGTTGGTGCTATCATAAGAATATAACCAAAGCTGTATGTACTGTTATTGTGAAATAGATGTTGACTTTAATGTACTTAGGAGAATTTTTACCAATTTATTATTTGCTTTTGGATCCTTATTGTTAATGCAGATACTGAATAGTCTAGGAAATGCAATATCTCTTCTGCTTCTACAAAGCAATGTCTTAAAAGAGCGATTCAGAGTGCCACACTACTCAGTTTATCTAAGTTATACTGTTAACCCTGAGTTGATCCTTCTGTGAATTTTAATATAAGGGATCTCTGCATTTCTAGCTTGCTAGCTAACAAGATGTCATAGCAAATAAAAAGTTAATAGTTTCATCCTAATGAAAGCTGCTGGAAATAGACCTTTTTCATTAGTATTGTTTGTCTTCATGTGTGTAATAGTACTTATATTTGTTGCTTCATTTCTGCAGTTCACTGAAATCTCTATCTGCTGTAAAGCTTTAAACTTTGTCCTTTGGAATCCAGCTATGATAAATTCCCTGAATCTTTATCTTTGACTGTAGTTCAAAGGTGATTAGAAGTTCTGTGTGTATAACACCTGCAATTATAGAGTATACACCCAGAAGAAAACAGCATTTTATATAAATGATTTCCTACTGAGGTTACTAGTGGAACAAATAATACAGAACAAGGATCAGAGCAGTGCTCACTAGCCTTTTAATAGCTTCAAGCCTAGAGTGACTTGAGACTAAGCTACTTGAAAATAGTAGATGTAGACTAAACTGAATAGCCAAGGTGGGCAGCAACATTTTATCTCCATATAAAACCTTGAAAATTAGTTCGGGTATCAACATGAAACTGAAGTCAGAGCCATTTTCAGAGCTTTTTTGACAAATGCAGTATGCAGATCCCAAGGTGTGGGTCTGATTGCTCTCCCACACAAACTAGGCCCATTATTGGGTTTCATCCCATGTTCCATGGTTGGTTTGCAACATTATAAAAGACTCTTCCAAGCCATTGTTAATCTTGGTGGGATAAAAGTGTTGTCCTTCCCCCCCCCCAGTATATGTTTCTTGTATCTTCTCATCAATCGGTCCTAATCTGTAGAGATTTGGGAATGAAAAACAAACCACCAAAAAACTTCACCACCTGCTTTTCTGCTCACCATTTCTTTGTGTTTGTCATGTTTTAGCTGCTTGGTATTCCATTTCTCCCCTTACGCCTCCTACAGATAAACCTAGAAGACCCCAGGAAAGGTCCCAAATCACTGACTCCCTAAACAACACAAGATGAAGAGAATGTTGATGCTGGGGATGGGGCTGCATTGGAGCTAATTTGAGTGGGGCTTGCTGATCTCTAGTGTATTTTCCCAGGTGCCCAGGACAGTTCTCTGGTGGATTACCTAACAGCAGAGGCAGCTGGTGTGCTAGGTCATAGGATAGGCCTGTCTGACTACCAGGTCATGTGGTGAAGGAAGGGGCCAAAGTGTTAGATTGCAACTGGAGAAAATGTCATCTACCATGATGGTTTTGTCTGCAGGTTAACATGACCCTGGCACACTTTATGCCCTCTCCCAGTCACAAGTAGATGACCAGTTTGGTGGCTCAGTAGATCAGACTAAACAGAAGAGTCTGGCATGTTTGAGTTGTGGAGCAACTCTGTGGAGGGAGGGGGAACTATGCTGCAAGTAAGATACAGCTTAGGTTCATAGAGAGAGAAAGCAGCGCAAATTCTGTGTGAGTCACACTTGAGACTGAAGGAGAGGCAGGAAGCTTATGACTGCAAATACTATCAGGTTGGGAAGGAATGCAGATTCTTCAGGTGCTATCAAGAGAGAAGACAGAAGTGGCTACCACATGGAGGAGAGTGGAAAGGCTGAAGCCTCTTTTGTATGCAAATTAGAGATACTGTGTTTAGGTCACCAAGGAAGTGCAGGACAAAAATGCAAAGTCTTTGAAGTACAGCTTACTTGTGATGCAAACATCTCTGCAAGATTTCATTTATAGCACAATTTCATACCTAGCATCACCAGTGTATAAGCCCCTGCAGAATCACTATTTTAAAGCTAACCTGTATTTGAGAAAATATTATTTATAATGTTTTATCCATATTGGATAATAGGTTGCTAAGAAGCAGAGGGTTTTCCTTAAAAACCAGGACATACCATCTGCTTAGCTTTGGTATATTGCTCTGTGATACTTGATGTAGAGACAGCATATGGATTTTCTAGTTATCTTAAGAGACTGAAAACTGCCTTTAAAAGACTTTGGAGTTCAGAAAGTATTCCCTATGCTAAGGGATTGTACTCTGCATCAAGTGCATGAGAAAATTTCAACAGAGTATGTGGAAAAATATTCTGTTCAAAGTTTCCGATGACCACCTATTTAAAATATATCAATTCATGCAAACTACAGTTTGTTAAACAAAAAAGCTAGAAAACTGTCAGTAGCTGTACTAGCAGTCATGCAAATCAATATAAGCATGAAATCGACAGTCCACCTTAAAATCAGATCAAAGATGTGTTCTAAAAATGCATTCATAATCCAGAAAAAATCATTATAAAGCTCTTGGTGAGTTTCTGCTAACAGTCTTTCACAAGCTCAGTACAAGCTGAACTGTCTAATACACTAGATTTTGATGTGTCCAGAACTAGTTTCTCTATCCAAAACATCAGTCTAGCTATCGGAACATAGTTAATTATTAAATGTGTGTGTATGATCAGGACACCTGACTTTGCCGAGCAGGTTAGCAGAGTGTACTGCTATTTAAACAGATGAGAGAAGGAAAATAGGTTTATAAATTTCTTTGCAATGTTTTGTTAGGCTAAGAAAAATAATGTTCTTTCTATCTGCACATTGATGCAGTTTCCAGTTTCAGTGCATTCCAGATTTAATCTAAAATGTCAAGGATCTTGGATCAGAGAATTTTGCTTTTAGCAATTTCATTTTCAGCAAGTCTGCAAAGTACAACCGTACTTTCGGAATGGAAGAAGTGTGGTGACCAGGAATGTGAGAGTAAGTAAAAAAGTTTGTTGTTGTTTTTAAAAGGAGTCTACGGTGTATGGGCAGTTACTACCAACCATAATGTTGAAATCAGCAATGAGACAGACTGAAAATTAGTAACCACAGAAAATGTTTGTTATCAATATAGTAAGTTTATGAGCAATAGGCTTAAACTTTGCAAACAAAACCAGAAAAAAATACTTACCGGATTGCGTTGTGTAAGTACATAAAGATCAAGGTTCAGTGAAAATACTCTTGAATAGCTAATTTTTCTTAGGTTTCCTCAAAACAGTCTGTACAAAGCACCTTTAAAGTATTTTAAACTCATTCTTTACAGGTACAAAATAAATGAAAATAAAAAAAATCAATAAAAGGTAGGCTCTAGGCTGAGAGAGAAAATTGTATGCCTTGGGTTCAGAGTACATTCAGAGCCCATTCTGCAAATCTCCAGGTTTTTATACTGCAAGCAGACTGTTTTTACAAAAGACCCCGACAATACACCTTCTTTACTTATTTTTTTCTTCTTCAATATGAACTAAGAGCAGTGAGTAGTTATGCAGTTCCTGGGGAGTGACAGCTCTGTGGAAGGTGGAGCCACTGAATCACAAGTGGGCAGCAGTAAATAATGCCCCATATATTATCTGTTCATTACCATTGTGAAGCTTGTCATAATCATATGTAGTTGAAACAGTTTCTAAGCTACTTCCATTGGTCTGGCAGCCTTAACTGTTACTTTTTCCATGTGGACAGTTTATCTTGAAGTGGAAGAGACCTTAGATTTCCTCTGCTGATGGACTCTTATCGTCAGCCACACTGACTTCAGTCTGGATGCTCAGAGAAGTCTGTCTTTGTAGAACACCATATGGAATGGGGTCCAACCTGACCAGAGTACATGAGTAGTGGTGGTTTCTGTGGGGAAGCAGGGGTGAAGACAAAGAGAATTTGAAGTCATTCAAACTGAACTGGAAATTTTGTTTTGACAACACGTTTAAGGTTTATAGTGTTTAAACTTACTTATTTTCTTTATAAGATAAATGTATTCAATATATAGGACAAAATTCCTGAAATATTTACTAGATTTAACTTAGAATTTCTAAAATATATAAACATGCCTGGGAAATATTTTTTAGCTGGTTAGATCTGGCTTTAGTACTTGAACGTGCTAATTCTCCACATGCATTTGGGCTTTGAAAGCTTTGCTGAATAAGGATGGGAAAATTTCCATATAGGACAAGTGTTCTCACTGAAAGAAGACAGGATAGCGCTGCTTTTTGCTTGATCCATTATATCAAAGCACACTGATGTATTAACAAACATTTTAACGTATTTATATATATTAGACTTTTTCAGTAACCTATCTGACTTAATGGCTGCTATGCTTACTTGTTTCATTCTTCCTACATACTTTTCCAGCGGCAATGAGCAGAGTTCATGCCACTACAGACTACTTAGGGCCTGACTGCCGGTATCTTAACTTCAAAACAGGGGAAGAGATAATGGTATACTCCAAACTTTCAAGGAAAAATGAAAACTTGTGGATAGGAAGTGTAAGTACTTCAATCTGAAAGACTTTTCCCATTAATAATTTAGCTAGTATAATAATAGCATAACAACTGTGGTCTGCTTGCTTCTAGGAATCTTCCATCTCTTCTGTAATATTAACCACCAGTTAATATTATAGGCAGTACAGTATTTGGGAGATGGGTCACTGTTGTCATCTTTAGAAAGGGAAAATCAAATCTTAGCTAAGATCACTCAAGGAGAAACAAAGTCAGGGTAAGAATTCAAGTGCTCTGTCTCCTTCCTTTAAACATTTGGCTATAATGATTTAATCTGGTTCCCTTAAGAACATTCATGTCTATCAGGTCAGATACCTACCTACACGTCTGTGAGTAGTGTTTTTCAGTCATTTAGTCAGCAATCCAATACTGGGACCTGACTTCACAGTTCAGTGCCCAAGGAAAGTTCCCAGAGAAGTTATCATGCATATTTAATGATTTGGAACAACTGACAATGTACAAACAATGTATAACATAGAACAGCCATGTAGTTATGCTATAGCTTAGAAGGAATAGATGCATTGATCCATATGCAACTGCCAGTAAATCTGTGTCAGTCCTTCAAACCTAGAAGATACTGGTAAACTTTTTCTTCTTTATAAATGATCTGTCACATTTATTGTGTAACAATGAAATTCTGTCTTCCTTTTTCTCATTCAAGAGTATCTTTGCAGGTACCTCACTGTTCTTTGCTTTCCAAGTTGCATCACTCTATTTAAAAGCTGTGTGCAATGGTTTGATGTAAAGCTAGTGGCTGGTTGTTGTTTTTTTTTGTCAGACTGACTCTTACTTTATTCTTCTGTGCATTATCATGAACTTTCTGTGGTGTTGCCATCTTCACTGCCATTTTCTCTTCAGCTGCAGCTGGCCTCACACCTAAATTTCATATCCTACTTTTCTTGTAGCTTATTATGGGTCATTGCTTATCAAGGCACATTTTTTCTCCCCCTTCAGTCAATGGCAAATTTGTAGCAAATTTAAGTAGAAGCTGAGACCATCTGTGCTCGTAACACTGTCTTCACTTGAAGCAGTGCTAAGGCTACTGGTTTGGTTCTGGCAAACACATGGTCGTTAATACAGAAAATAATAGTATGGGTTAATATACTTCCCTTTGCTGTCTGAACTGGCAAATGGAACACTTCAATGAAGGAAAAATAAAACAGTCTTTTGACCAAACATAATGAAGGGGTCAGGAAGCAGCCCTATAAACTTAGTGTCTATTCATACTTTTCTAGCGTGAATGCAAGCACCTACCATACTTATAACTGAAGCTCAAATGCTCTCATTCCTTTTATATTTTTTATAGAAAGGAACAGATTTTGGATATTTCCCAAAAGACGCTGTGAAGGTTGAGGAAGTTTTTACTGTGGAAGAAGTTGAAGTGCTCACTAAGGTAAACCAACATCACCAGATTTTCCAATGTCATTCACAGCAATTGAAAATCTAATATCCAGGTAGAAATTAAAGTGTTAATGCACATTTTATTTCAGATAAATCAAAACATATTTTTTCATTATTGTGCCATTTGCATGTTTACTGTTCTTTAAAGTAATTTTTATCTAATAAATCATTACTAGGAATAATGTAATTACTTACAGGCCTTTGTGCAAAGTTATATGCATGTATAACTATACAGAAAGAAAAAGAATAAAGATATTGCTGTGCTACATGGAGCTGTAGAAAATTACACATGAAGACACCTTAAAAGTTGATATTGTTCTTTCAGGAAACTGATTTCCTTTGTCTTCATGGACATAAGTACACTTACGAAAACGAAAATAGTGCATTACATGATCACAAGAGAGAATATTCATCATCTGATGCAGAATCAAAGCTGCATGAAAATGAACTCTTCAAGTATACAAGAGAATCTATGCAAAAGGAAGAAAAGGTTGAATCAGTTTCTGAAAATGATTCCAAGGAATCTCACACTCAGGAGGAGTCTGCAAGCAAAGAGTTGTTTATGAAAAATGAGAACAGAAGAGATGATACTGAAAAGCCAGAAATGCAAAACAGTCTCCCAGTAGAACCCATTCCAACTCAGTCTAGCTGGATTGCAGGATGGTTCACCACAGGAAATAAAAATGGAGAGCCCTTAAAAGCCATGACAGAACCCTTGGGAGAAAATACCTACCGAAGCAGGAAAATAATGGTAACTGCTGAAAATGATTTACAGGAGTCAAATGATAAGGAGGAACAAGAATCCCCAGTATCTGCTTGGTTTCAAGGTGGACTGACAGATTTCCTGTATTTTGGTGAACAGAATGTGGATGTTGGTCTGGCATCCGAAAAAAATGATCTACAAACCCATGATGTTTCTGGCGTGCCTGAACTTTTCAATAATGAACAGGAAACAGCAGTCGCAGAGTTACTGACAGAAGAAAAGAGTGAAAGCCAAGAATCTGGATCAAATTGGTTTAATTTGGATTTAAGTAATGTTCTTAATTTTGTCCATGCTGAGAAAGTTGCAACTGCTGTGCAAGAGCAGCAAAGCAGAGAAACACAGGATGAAGCAAATAATAATGAAGTGCAGACTTCAGACCAGAAAGAACAATACATGGACAAAAAATCTAAGGAGATGGTTAAAGCAGTGATGGGTGAAGATGATAAAGAGAATTATGCACTAGAAATAATAGATTCAAACATGCCAAATCCTGGGAAGAGAGCAGCAAGTGTGCATACTCTTAATGACACCAAAAGCACAGAATTATTTTTTGATATGCCAACAGGTGACAACGAGAAGCCAATTGAACCTTACGGTTCAGAACAAGATGCGGTATCAGAAAGCCAACTGCTGAAAGACACTGAAGCTAAAAAGAGAAATCAGGAGTCAGAAAGTGAATATGGACAGTCAGGTTGGTATAAAAATATCTGAAATAGATTTGTTAATTGTAACACATATATATATTATAATCAGCAGGGATTATCTTATCAGAATTGTGATCCCTCAGACAGAAAATACAGATGAGAAGCCTGGCATAGCTGAAGAACAGAGCCATTTCTTCTCTTTCAGTCATTTTGCAGACATACAGTTCAACAGCCAAAGAGAAACAAGTGTATAGTTTGCAAGATGATGTGTTTTTTAGTGAAGAAGCCCTTCAAACTGAACATTATGGTAACATATTACAAGGAAATACTAAAAGAGCAATGAATAAGTAAGTCAGAGAGCTAGGGAGGAGCCGTCTGAAGATACGGGTGCAATTCAGGAATCTGTTTTGCTCACTAGCTGTGCAAAATAATGAACACAGTAATGAAAAAGCAAAACGTTTTGTCAAATTAGTTTAGTAATAGTGATGCTTCACAAATGCATCACTATTAACCCCAGCTGGTAACTAAGACGCTAACACAGCTGCTTGCTTGCTCCCTTCCAGGCCCCTCTGGGATGGGCAGAAGAATAAGGAAAAGACAAATCCTGTGTGTTGAGATAAAAACAGTTTAATAATTGAAATAATGATGATTATAAAAAGGGAGATAACAGGGAGAAAGGAATAAACTCCAATAAACACAAGTGATGCATGGTACAGTTGCTCACCACCTACTGACCCACGCTCAGCCCACCCCTGAGCAGCAATTGGTGGCTCCTGGCCACCTTTCCCCAGTTTCTATACTGAACACTACTTTCTGTGGTTTTGAATATTCCTTCGGCTACTTTGGGTCATGCTCCCTCCCGGCTTGTTGTGCCCCTCCTCGCTGGCAGGCCATGGGAAACTGAAAAGTCCTTGACTTTAAGTACTGCTTAGCAACAACTGAAACATCAGTGTGTTATCAGTATTATTCTCAGACTAAAGCCAAAACACAGCACTGCACCAGCTAAGAAAAATAACTCTATCCTAGCAGAAATCAGGACACTGTTGAAACAGTAGTACAACCTGAAGCATCTCAGAGACAATATGTACCCTTGTTTAGATTCCAGTGCTGAAAAAAATTGCTTCTAAGACTAGTGAAAGTCAGGAAAATGCCAATATGAAAGGCTACTGTAATGAACTGTCTCCAAAGATTCTCTACATTTAGTTTCAAAATTAAATTTTTAAAATAAGAGTGAAAATTGGAACTTATCTAGAGGGAAAATAAAATATGGAAACCACTAAAAGAGTGTAAAGGAAAACCCCAAACCCATACTTGTGTATTCAAGAATCTGTAAATTCAGAAGGCAAATTACTAAGCTATAGAGAAATACCAAGAACTGCAGATAATCATTCGGGCATCAAGACAACTCTATGTGTTAGTGAACCAAGTCTGACTCTGGAAACATCTAACAAAGGCAAAGCAGACAAACGCTGTTTGAAAGCCAGTTACTCTTTTTGTCTTTTGACTATTGCACTATTTGTGGTATCTTTGGCCAGTATTGTCGTGAAGCACAGAATTAATCAATTTGTTAACAAATGAATCAATTTGTAAATGGTATTTTTTTGGAAGCAGCATTTTATTGGCTTCAGGAAATTTACTCCAAATCACTAAAACTGAGGCAGCAAGGTGCCTTCAGTTATACTTCCCCATGAACATGCCTGTGGTTTCTTGTATTTCACAGTGACGTTTATTATCTTGAGAGAAGTTGTTAATCTTTAACCCTACATGGCATATTTAATTTTTGTTTTTTTGTAAAGGTTTTCCCAGTTGTATTTGGGAAAATGTAAGAAAGAGACCTACTAATCCTGAACAGGGAATCTATGGGCTAATTATCAAAACTAAGCAGATGTTTTCTTGATCAAGTTTTGCTTTTAAGCTTTAGCTTTATCCTCCAAAGTCTGTTGAGCCCACTATTTGAACAAGTATTTCTTAAATCATAAATCTCTAGCATATTTTTTACTCTCATGTAGCACTCTCATACTTGCCTTTGAGGAAAATGTAAGCAAAAAATGAAAATCTTGGTAGAGGTTAGTATCTCATAAAAGTATGTGCGTCTAAATTGAATCCTCTGAAAATAAGCATGATTTCCCTTCATAACTATTTGCAGGAGTAGGCAGTAGAAGAAAGCTACTAGAAGAAACACCAGAGAAGGAATATGAAATGAATGCAGCTGCAGTCAGTGAAGGTGGCAGTGACCAATATTCAAAAGCAATAGTGATTCCTTCAGAAAATTCTGAAGAAAAAATGGACAGTTCAGTAGCTGACTCTCCACTTGATGTTGAAAAGCCCTTCTCAGATGCCATCCAGAACTATGTCCCAAGTAATGGTAAGCATTAAGTTTCTTAACTGTAAGAAAAATAAATTTGCAGTATTAAAAGAAGTTGTAATGACATTGACAATTGTCATGTATAACCTTTTTTTTTTTCCTCCTCTTTTTTTTTTACATATGAACAAACCAGGAGGCTGGGTGTATCAGATACTTCTGTGCTTGAGTGATCTTGAGATCAGGGAATCAATCAGATCTGTATTTCTGGCCGTAACAAGTGCTATCAAAAAGGTAAGAATTCTTCACGTGATAGTGTTGACATTAATGCAACATTAAGCCAGTTATTGCTTATGTTCTGCAACAAATCTCCTAAAAAAAAAAAAAAAAAGGAAAGAAAAGAAAAAGAAAAAGAAAGAGCCTTTTAAATAAACCCTTTGCAGTCCCCTTGCTTCTGGGGGGTATGCTAAATGAGAAAGAACAAGAAAATTTAAGGTTAGCTGTAATTCATCTGCCTCTGTCACTGGTACTGCAGAATCCGATGGCCTTAGTGTGTTGGCTTTTTTCACATAACAGCCAGGAAATACCTCGGTGGTCAACATATCAGCTTTTTGTTGCTTCTGGTTTTGTTTTAATGAAACTCACAGCTCCCTCTAGTTCCCATGACAGTACTCATTAGATTTGCTTGGACTTAGGAAGTTCAGGTTAGGATGAGTAAAATAACCAGAATACTTCCATTGTCTGTAAAAATTTCAAAGCCTTCATTCCAAACATCCCCGTAGTTCAAAACTGCATAAAAAACTTACCTAAGCAAATATATGCAACACAAAATGGGATTATGAGTGCTAGGGGGATGTCTTAAATATCAAAATATACGGACAGTGAAGGCGGACTTTAATGGACATAAGTGCACAAGAAACATTTGTCAGAGGCATGTGAGGAAAGGGAGACAGTGTTGCACTGTCATCTCTAAAAAGGAAAGTCTATCACCTAAAGCGGTATATGGTAAACTTAATTTTTTTACTTTGGTTTGACTGGTAACTGGAGTTTAACTACCACATGAATTTGTTCCTGATTTCCAGTATCAAATTCTATAAATTCTGGCTAAATTTTGCAATCAAGGAGACAAAAGCTGAAGATCTTTGCTTTGTTCTTATGAACTGGATTTTGATGCTGATAGTTCACTGCTATCGTTCTTGTATTGTTTGACACAGCTAAAAAAGCCACTTCTACCTTCTACCGATCACTTTCTCTTAGGTGGTACCAGCTTTCCAGGCAAGCCACTCAACTCTTGCACTGTGAATATTCTGTTAGTGTATGTTAGAGAGGGGAAAAACAAACAAAACTAAACAAACAAAAAAAGTGCAGTTAAGTACGGGTAAAAACAAAATAAATACGGTATCAATAGTCCTAGTGAACGAGATGAAAAGGCCCCGCTGCTCTGTGGCACTACAGCTACTGTTTCTCGCATCTTTCCCTGCATTTGTGTGCCAGTTGCCCCAGTACGATCAATTTGCCACAGAGAACTCAGCCCAAAGCCATGCCGCGCTCTTCCCGAGCAGGTCCGGCCGGGCAGCAGCAGCCGCCGCCGCCGCCGCCTCCCGCCTGCGCACAGTGAGGAGGCCGCGGCCGGTCCCTGATCCACCTGTGGCCCTCCCCGCCCCCCGCCGCGTTAATGCGAGCTCCGGCTGCCCGCCTCTTGGGGTGGCACGTCTACCGCTCGGGTCAGGCCGATCCCGACGAGCGCAGCCAGCAGAGTTCTAGTTTTGTGAAGGGCTGCTGCCGCCCGAGTACGCATGGACGCTGCAGGTGGCAAAGGGGAGGTGAGTATCCCTCCGCGTAACTTTAAGGAGGAACAGGAGTACTGTCGGGGCTAGCGGGGCAACGTCAGTAGCAGAAGAAGAGGGGGGACGGTGGCTGTACGCGCAGGACAGCTGTCGGTCCTTGTCGTCAGAGGGCGGAGTGCGAAGGGCAGAGTCTGGCGGGAGAGGTCTCGGACACTCAGCGGCCCCCTAGACCGCAACGCAGCCGGACTCGGCTGCGCCGGGAGGACGACGACACCCCTGAGGCGCACCTACTCCAGACCCTGCCGACTCCGTAGTTTGGAGCCGCGGCCAGAGACGGGGTTGAGGCAGGGCCGTGAGGCCCGGAGGCTGCTGTCCCCGTCGCCCTCTCACCTCTCTCGGAAGCAGTATTTCCCGCTCCGTCCCCACCCCGGCGGCAGTGTTGCACCACCATTGCTGTCACAGCGCTTCAATCTGCCCCCTCCCGGCTTCTCCCACCTGTGCCCGCGCTGCTCCCACCCCCTTTTCCGTCTCAGCATTCGTCTTTCCTTGCTCCCCCTCCCTCCCGGTAGTGGTACAGGCCGGTTGTCAAGCGGGTGGCCGGAAGGGGCCGCACGGCGGTAAGCTGGTGCCGGTCGCGGCAAAATGGCTGCTGGCGGTCGTGGCGATGGTTTGGATGTGGCCACTGCCAGCTTATGGCTGGGACTGCGGGAGAGCGCGCAGCGATACGGCGGGTTGGCCTTGGAAGGGGCGCGCAGGGTGAGCCGTGACACACCTCCTCCCGCGGCTGGCCCCGGTGCACCTCAGCCGTAGCTGGGGTCTTGCGCCGCGGCCCTCGTCTTTGAGGGGAACGGCGCTGTCGGGGGTGGCGAGGGGCCCAGGGCTGACAGAAACGGACCCGCACCGGCAGGTGTGGCGCAGAAACCACGTGAGCCGGGGAGCGCCTCGGCGGCGTGTGTCGGGGCCCAGCAGCCTGCCGAAGGCTGCGCAGCCGGGAAGTGGAGGGGGGGACGGGATCGGAGCTGAGCGGCACTTGCTGAAGCTTTCCTTGGGAATACCAGGAGTCTGAAAGAGCCAAACCAGTGCAGCACACGCTCTCTGATTTCGCACACCCCACACTCCCCCCCACCCCGAAGTCGAGATTAAGTCTTTACAGTAACACATTTCTTAAGCACAGGTCACACGTAGCAGATGTGAGCTACATTAAGCAGGTGTTTGAGCAAATAGTGATATCCATCTACAAATAAATTGTGAGGGTATTTAAGTGTTTAAATGTGTTAAATCATTTGATTGTTTGGTGTGTTATTTTAGGATGAAGGTGGACAAGGAGGTTTTCATACCAAGCAATTTTTCTACCACTTAATCATAAAATACTTATAAATAAATACTTATTAGTGCTGATTCTTCTGACAGTGAAGTGTGTAGACCCCATGAAGGAGAACTTGCCATAATTGCATAATTAGTGTGTTCAGAAGGAAAAGTTTTCAGAGCTTTATCCCATCATCATATCTTGTTGGAAGCTTTATCTTTTTGCTTCACTTGGTATATTTATATATAAAAGTATATCCATGAAAAATATGCAATTTAAAAACCAAAGGTTTCTGTTATAATTTCGGAAAAAATTAGATGTGCAAGCCTCTGCAAGCCTTAGATGTAAACTAAGCCAACGTATAATGTCTATTTCTGTTGAAGGTATTAACCTCTTTTCCTTTAGTTGAAACTTTTCACTTTGTTTTTCAGGCTGTAGCTTCACTACCAGAAGATATGAGACCTGGTCCTGATCTGTATGGTTTCCCATACGAAATAGTGATTTGTGCTGGCATTGCTGGAGCCTTTACAGTTCTTTTGTTCCTGTATAGAAGTTACCAGTCGGTAAGTGTCATGGTTTAACTCCAGCTGTCAGTTAAGCCTGGTGCAGCTGCCTTCTCACTTACTCCCCCTGCATTGGAATGGGGGAGAGTCTTGGAGGAGTCAAAGTGAGAAAACTGTGGGTTGATATAAAGGCAGTTAATGGGTAAAGCAAAAGGTGTGAGTGCAAGCAAAGCAAATAATTTATTCACCACTTCCCCTTGTCAGGCAGGTGTTCAGCATCCTCAGAAAAGCAGGGCTTCATTATGTGTAACAGATACTTAGGAAGATAAACACCATTATTCCGAATGTTTCCCCCTTCCTCCTTCTTCTCCCAGCTTTATATGCTTAGCATGATTTTATATGGTATTGGGATATCCCTCTGGTCAGTTGGGGTCAGCATTCCCTGCTGCATCCCCCCCCAACCTCTGCACCCTTAGCCTACTTGCTGGTGAGAGCAGAAAAGGCTCTCTGTGTAAGCACAGCTCAGCAGTAATGGACACTTCCCTATATTAGCAACACCATTTTCAGCACAAATTGAGAAGAGCCCCATAGTATCTCCTATAAAGAAAATTGACTCTATCCCAGCCAAAACCAGCACTATTAAAATCATATGCAGATATGTAGAGTGCATTAACGATTTGAATTTAATGGCTTGAATTGAAATTGTTATTCTTTTCAAAATATACAGTGTTTCAGAGTTTTAAATCTGTTGTGATTGAATTTAGAAACCCTCTGAAAGAGAAATGAGAAGTAGCTTGTTTTGTCAAGACAGTAAGCATTTGGATATGTACTGAGTGACTGGTATCGTTAGAGTAAATGTAATGAAACTTGTAATAAGGCTTCTTTTTTTCTTCCATTTTTAATTTTCACACCAGACTTTCAAAGTCAGCCTTTAAGTTATTTCTCTGGATATAAAGGTCTTCCCTACGGTGTATGTGTATTGATATCTCTGATTACCTTGACTGTGACCAGCTCAGATCTTTCAAGCTAATTGTAAGCAAAAGCAATCCAGATGGATTCCCACCAAGGGGGTAATTTTAAAACTCTTTCGACAGTGACCTTGTTTCCGTTTACTGGAATACTGATCCAGTCTCACTGTGCTGTTTGTGAGCACTAAGCTGATGCCTTTGAGAAATGCAGTACTGAAACCTTTTAACACACAGATTATATTTTTGAGGTAAGGGTTTTCTATTCTGAGTAAATAAGGATCTGAGTAATAACAGCGGCCTACCACATTCTCCCTACTAAAGAAATGGGGCCAGTGTTCATAATTCAGTATTCTGAATGTGATTTTGGTGCAAAATGTAACGATGCTCATGTTTGAAGATGGGTTACATAGTAGTTCCGTTTTTCAGACATGAGCAATTGCATTTTTAGGGTTCTAACATTACCTTAAATCTGGAAAAATACCATCTAACTCTGCAGCAGCGATTCAGATGGTCTGGAAGGCGATCTGTATTTGTATAAGTAAATGTATTTATAATTTGGGTGATTCCTTTTTTCTAGCAGCATCCCTGTAGGTAGTATGAAAGAGGCATTGCAGGTGAAATCAGTCAAGCAGCAGCTCTAGTGTTGTTTTCCTCCTGAACATGTCACTAAAGTGTTAGATGTTATGGAAGTTACTGATAGCTTAGAAAAGACTTAAAACTGTACTGACTGCTCTTTGAATAATTGTTACTTACTCAAAAATAACAAGGTTTGGTTTTGTGGGGATGATAGGCTAAGGTGTACGTAAAACTTTCTCGCCCTTTTTCTGTTACTTAGACTCCTTGGCCATCCCATGTCTTTAAATAAGGAGGAAACAGGAAATCTGAGGGACCCATTGTATGTTAGGCATGTGATCCAGGCCCAGCCTTGAGAAGAATGCTGTGTTACAACTTCACAAAGTTTTTGTAGGTTCAGCCAAGTTCTGCATCTCTTGTCCAGGCCATTTGGGACGGATTTTGTCCCACAGTTTGTTAGATTTTGATTCTAGGTCACTAAACCCTATGTGGCAGCTGCAGATTTGGCACTTCCCACCAAGTTGCATCTGGGCAGGATGCCCATCAAGTAGTACCATGACTCCAGTTCTAACTGTTAAGTATTATAACATATGAGGTTTTTTTTCCTCGTAGGAAATTAAGTCTGAGCTAGCAAGTGGAGCTTCCCCTTCCCTCCCCTTTTCTACTCTTTTGGCTATGTGTGTGCACTACCATTTTGTGTTGACAGTCATGGTTATATGATGACTATACAGAGGTGTATTATAAAAGTGATCCAAGTGACAACTAACCTCCTTTACCCTCTTCTGTCTAACTATAATGGGAGAAGGACAGGGCAAACATAGCTGTGGAGGGGGCAAGAGCAGAGAGTGCATTTGCCCATTTTAACAGCAGCCTGTACTTATCTCTTTTTTTTAAAAAGTTCCAAGGTTAAACTGATCATGAAACCATGGCTTAAAAGATTACTTTTCAGAGACAATGGAAGAGTAATTGATCAAACATTTTCAGTATTTATTCTTTTTGTTTCAGGTTAGAAGTCGACTTTATGTAGGTAAGCTTATTTTTCATACTGTTGTTTGGGAGGTTTTTTGTGTATGAGTTTTTGTTTTTTTTGGTTTTTTTTTCCTCCTTTGAATTACTTGAGTGTTGCAACACTTAACTGTTTGCGGATTTGTTTTGGTTTACTTTGGTGAGTTTTTTTGTTGTTTTTTTTCTAGGAAGGGAAAAACAGCTTGCCAATAAAATTGCTGAACTAGTTGAAGACAAAAGCAAAATTCTTGAAAAACTCAGCCTTTGCAAAAAAGAGGTAATGGTCCTCATTTATTGCTTTCAGATGTGTCACAGAAATGGGCTCATTTATCAAGTATTTTAAGTATTAAACTTATGTAAAAGTAAGATGTTTAAAGGCTTTCAAAGTGATTCTTCAAATGCTTTTTCCTGTCAGTGCCTTAATTAGAAAGTTCTGCCTTTAACTCTTAATACAATATATTTCACTGGAATCAACTTCAAAATGGCTTTGTTTTATGGCACTGGGATTATCTAATCGGACTAAGGCTTTCCTGAATTACAGCAAGGTGCATTTGTGAATATCTAGGTGGTTGCTATGTTTTAGACTGGGGCATCATAAATTAATATTGTTATTTCAGCCAATTCTGTACATCCATTCTGACATAAAATATTTCCTTTTCAGTTTGAAGATTTAGAATTGTCTCTGAAGGATGGTAACGTTATGAAAGAATCAACAGACCCGTCTTTTTTTGAGGTAAAAAGATAAATAGAAATTGTAGTTTCCACAGCTTAAGGCAGTATTTCAGGAAAACGCTGCCCATACCAAAAAAGCCACCCCAAAACACAAAAGAAAAACAAATAAGCCAAAAAAGCCAAAAGCACAAAACCCCTTAATTGTTTTGAAAGCATTGTTATTTTAGTCTTGGATTACTGAAAATGACATAAGTAAGACATTTAAGTTAAGAAGTTGTTTTAGCAATTGCATTAAAATGATTGATACTGGAGCAAATGGCACATGAGACAATATTTATTTTTTTAAAAAGTAAATTGTTTCTAAGAGAGAGTAGTGCATGAAATATTTTTTTCTCAA